TCCAAGATCTCTCATGTGCTCCCTAAACCCCCTCCCCATAAACTGATCACTACACCTGCTACATGTTTCAAGACTTTCCTTTCACACATCTACCTCTCCCACCGGACAGGAATGTGAGCCTCCTCGAGGACCCTGGCTGTTTCTGATGACTCCATCCATCTTCAGCATCCAGCACAGGCCTGACACATAAAAGGTACACAGTAAGTGTGCATATGTGAGCACGCCATTCCACCAGGAAGGGTGGAAATGGAGCAGATTTCTGAAGTAGGAGCTGGTTTTCTCACAGCTATAGATGATTCCAATGTATAAACTGGATGTGTTTCAATGTACATGTGTAAGTTATTTTAGGACGCAGGACTCATTCATCTCTCTGTGTATCATACGTGGTGGGTAAGTACTAGGGCCTGACCTCAGAAATGTGTTTAATGTGACTGAATTATAATTTTAACACTCAAGTACAAGACTGCTCACTGTTTAGATTATATAGAACGATAATTTCTATGGAAGACTGTGATCAAAGTTCCAGTAGCAGGAACGCATCTCATTCCTGGCCTCCTGCCCCTCCGTTTTAAGACAATAAAATCTTGGACTCGCCCTCCCCTTGCACCTGCCCTAGATCATGAGCAAAGATCCCAGTTTCCCACTTTCCTGCATGCTGCCTCCCTCTACCAAGACTTTCCAGTCTGTCTAGTCATTTCAGACCTGTGTTCTATTTTTCTCCAAGGACAGCTTGCCAATCTTAGAGAACAAACTCTGTCATGGTGTTAATGGGGACTGAGGGAAAGACTGGCTGCCCCCTTCTTCCAAGTTAGCCATGCAGAGTCCTCTCAGCTCCCGAGTCTGGCTGAATCCAGAGAGTGAGGCTGGGAGGCAGGGGAAGGTTCCAGTCCAGATCTGGCAGGCAAGTGTGCTCAAAGATATTTTTGAGTCAGGCACATGGTCCCTGAAATTACAATGTTGCATTCTCATTTCTTCCACAATGACACAGAGTGGTCCTACTGCAGGGAAACGGGCGGAGGCTGTATCTGACTGAGAAATTGGGTCCTTTAAGGTCCTAGTTAAGATGAGGTAACAGTTCTATGTCTAGGACGTTTGAACATTAGGACCACAGGTTGGGGCATTACCTGTATCCACACATGTGGACATTCTGACCACAGTCACTGCCATGTATTAGAAACCTATAACATTCCCTCTCCATTCCTGGCATTGCCGCAGCTCCCGGTGTCCTCTCAGGCAGTGACAAAGCGCCATGTACACCCCAAGTGAGACAGACAGGGATGGGCCCTGGCACTCCTATGAGCCCTGCCCCCACCTCTCATGTTGCATCAGCAACTCAGTAAGCAGGAACCATGGAGTTCGTAAAAGCCTCTGCCTGAGGGAGTTACAAGGCACAGAGGAGACAGACACATGGAAGCATACACCCAGATCTCCTGAGCCAGGCAGCCCGGTGCTCCAATCTCAATCTTGTCACTTTCTGTGGGGCTTTGGCCATGACAACGTTCCTCACGTCCCATTTTCTCAACTGCGAAAGGGGAGCAGGGAAACCTAACTTGCTCTTCAGTCCTAATGATCCTCATCTCAACCATAGAACACAGATAACTATTTGAGCGACTATTCCCTCAGTTCTCCCAAGGATGGAACCTAACCCCCCTTCTCATTCTAGAAGCATCAGAGAGAAGTTAATTACATACAACGTATACCTTAGGGCATTAGGGCTTAATTCTGTCAAGAAAGACTGATACAGAATGAGTTGAGCAGCATGGGTAAATACTACCCTCCAGGTTCCCTGAGGGTTCCTAGGGGGAAGGCATTAAATAGACAGGCAGGAGCTGGGAATCAGGAGGGCATGGCTGGAAGTCCCAGCCCAAGAGAAGGGGGAGAGCATGGCAGGGCCAACACAGAAACAAAAACTAACCTGACATGCTCTCCCCCTTCACTTCTGTTTCATTTGAGATGCAAGGATGAAGGGAATCATGTGAGCACTTTGTACCTAATGCATTTCTGTCTGCAAATGGAAAATACAATTAAACATTACAGTTACAGATCTTCAAACTGCCATGTATGATATAATTTGCCTCTAGAAAGAAATGTACATTTGGTGTTCCTTCCTGATGCTTTGGAAATAACAAAATTACTTCTTTCTAAAACTTCTGAATTTATACTTCCGTGATTTTATGATCCCATTTATGCCATTACATATCTCAAGAGCAAACATTTTTAAGTGTTCAGCTTTCAGACAAAAAAAAAAAAAAAAAACCAACAAAACAAAACAAAAAAAAACCACCCAGAAAAACCACTGACAATTTCTATTTTAAATGAATCCTCCCAAAGCCTCTTAGCTCAGGAAAGGAAGAGGAAAGAAGGTTCATTGTTTTCAGCAGCAAGCAGAGAGGTCAACCCACCAAGCTGTGGGGGCAGGCATGAAGAGCCCTGGGCCAGAGATCAACAGATCTAGGATCTAAAGCCAGGTCTCCTCTCCTTTGGAGACTGCTGCTTTCCCTTGGACACATCATTTTACTTCTCTGGGTCACAGTTTCCTCATCTGTGGAGTGTAAGATCCCTTCCAGCTAACAAAACATAAACCTTTACCTACACTCTGCTTCAGTATCTGCAAAAGGGGAAATATCTGCCTCCAACTTTCAGGAAGGTGAATACCAATAAGGAAGTATTTGAACAAAGCTTTAAGATTATATAATGAAATAGAAATAAACAAGATTCATAAAATCACGGGGCTATCACAGGGGGACCCTAGAGGTCTGGCCAGCTAGCTAAAGTGGATCTCAACTCTCAATGCACAGGAGACAGTTGGCAACAATCTTTCTTCTAGTACCCCTGTAGCTAAGGGGACCAGTGTATTCTCTTCAGGAAGCCAATTGAAAGCAAGCTTGAATTGACAGCCCGGGCAGTGTCCCCAGTCTTTCCAAAGGACATTAGGCATTAGGTTTTCCCCCTGCACTATTCTACAGGTATGAATATGCCCTCAACTGGCGGAAACTGTAGACTAAATAAAACGTGCAATTAATGACCTCATTTCCAAAGCCAAATCCCAGCCCACATCTGAGTTCAGAAGTTCCTACGGCACATAAGCTCAGCACCTGGCTGAGGGCTCCACCACTACAGAGCCATGAGAAATCGGGCCCGTTACGTCTCTCAGCCTCTCTTGTCTCATCTGTAAGATGGAGAGAGTAATAGTATCTACATTTCAGGGATCTGAGAAGGATTAATGAGGTATTATTACATGTAAATCCCTCAGAAGAGTGCCTGGCCCAGACTAAGTGTTTAATAAGTACATTTGTATTGATATCAACAGTAACATAATTCAATAACTATGTATATGATACTAGAGCAGAAAGGAAGGTCCTGAAACCCAGGGCACTCCTGGGGAAGAGGAAGTGGCTCCCTGCCTCCACCTCCTAACCCTTTCAGATGGTCTGAAATTAAGATGTCCATAAGGTAATGGAGGACTGATTGGAAAAGAGGGGAAGGAACCGAGGGTTGGTGGCGGCATAGAAAAATTACAACCAAAGGAACTGAAACAAGGTGTGCTGTGAAGGCAGCAGCAGGGAAAGCACTTGTTGAGAAGTAAGTAAAAGGCAAGAAAGCACCATGTGGGAGAAACTGGGGAGAGAATCAAGATGCCCGCACATGCGTAGCACAAATAAAAAAGCAGATAATCATCCTGGGTGGAAGGAAGATGGCAAATTTGGGGGCCAAAGGAGGTAACTGAAAATTACAATATGGGCTAAGAAATAGTCACATAAACCTCTGGAGGATGTGGGGGCAGAGAACGAGGTTCGGCAGCACAAGGAGGAGTGCATAATTAACAGGCACCAGGAAGGAGAACAATGGAGTGAGGAGGTTTGCAAGTTGGGGGACATGAAGAGAAAAGGTGCATTTGTTATGAAAGGTGGAAAAATAAAATGGAGTGAGGCTTCTGTGCCTGTTAGCAAAGGAAAGCAAAGAACTGGGAGATCTGAAGGGGGGTTATGGGGAAGAAAACACCAGGCAACACAGAAAATGAGATGAGGTGCAGAGAAAACCTGGGCGGGGGGGGGGCCTGGGGTTTGATTTTGGATAGCCTTGGTAATAAGTGCTCACTAAATTCAAATTATTGTTCTATTATTAACATTATCATCCAATGCTGGGAAGCAACTAACCCAGAGAGTTTTGTTTGCTTTGGTTTGGTTTGTTTTTTCGCACTTGGAGGGAAGGGAAATTTGCTCAGGCTCTGTAACTTTGCGCAGTCCGATAGGTGGCCCGCCAGCACAGTCACCTGAGTTCCCCCTGAAGTGGGCAGCACCGCGGGCTTCTACCTTACTGGGGCTAGTATGCAAATTCCCGCACCACGTCAACCACAACTGGAATCAAACCAACTCCAGCAACTCCCTCCAATTCAGAGGCGACAGACTCCGGGTCCCACCGGTCTTTCTCGTGAAATGAGACCCAGCTGGGACCTGAGGAGAAACTTGCTTTCAAAAACTAAGTTCTCCGACCGCATCCGCAGTAGGGCCGCCAGCTGCAGCAGACCTGGGCCGGGGCCGGCCGCACCGGTCGCGCCACCGGAGGGAGCGGAGCGGTGAAGGGAATACCCGCCGCACCAGGCTCCCCGAACCTTTGTCCTCCCTCCCCGCGCAACCTCGAGGGCCAGGCCCAGCGAGTCGGGAGCTCGGGGTAAAGTTTCAGGGTAATCCCCTAACGAGTCGTGCCGGAGAGGGCCTCTTCCAGGAGCACCGGCTGCACGCGCTCCCCGGGGGCAACGCCGCTGGCCGAACCTGGGGGGTGAGTGGGCTGTCGCCGAGCAACCACTTCAGGGCACCAACAGGTGGGCAGCCTGGGCGGCCCCGAGAAGCGGCCAGGAGGACGGAGCAGGGCGTCCTCGGGCTCTGAAAGCCGTCGCTTGGGACTAATTCCTCTCCCCCGGCTCCCAGCTAACAGCCCCGGACGCCTGCCCCACGCCCCGCGCGCGCTCCGTACAGCTGCATGCCGGGGTGCAGCCTCACCTCGCGCGGCTCCCACTCGGCGGAGCCTCCAAAGCCAGTGGATCCAAGACGTCTCTGCGATACAGGGCCGGTCCCGATCCCGCGGAGCTCGGAGCACGCCGGACTCTCGCCGGAGCCTCTGCTCGGGTGCGCTGCCTCTGGGCTGGCGGCGGGAGGGGCGGCCCTAGAGAAAGCGCGCCGCTGAATCCCGCCCGCGCCGCTGCCGCCTGGCTCCCCAGGCCACGCCCCCAACCCGCATCGGCCACGCCTCCAGCCCCGTTCTCTGTCCACTTAGGCCACGCCCCCGACCAGACTCTCCCTCCACACCCCCGGCCCTTCCATGCCCCTCGTCCAGCGACCCCGCCAAGACTATCCCTGCCAACAGCCCGGCTGCCACCATCTTCCCAGCCATTCCCAAGCCCCCACGGCATCCCCCATCTCCGATCAGGTTATCCCCCAGCCACGCCCCTGGTCCTGCTACGCTTTCCCCCAACTCCAGCTCTTCTTGCCCTCAGCTACACCCCGAGCCCGGCTCCCTTCCAACCACCCCCAGCGACTACCCCATACCACCACCCTCGGCCCGGCCCCCCTAAGCCAGGCTCTCCCCTTACCCCCATCAACCCCCAGCCTCACGAGCCCAGGGCGGGAGGCGCCGCCTCGTCGCCCAAGCAAATCCCCCCCCCCGCCCCAGTCCACTCGCCCCACCTCTGCCTGGGCTTGGAGTTCGCTTTAGGCGAAGGAGCCGAGGCTGTGCGCATTTCCCAGCAAAGGAAACACTAGGTGTGGATTTTTAAAACTACCCTTCCCCCCAGGAACTAGGGCGAGTCTTATGTGTACTGTTCAGTGAACCCACTCAAAGCACTACCACCTTTTCGATGTGGCCCAAGGGGTAATCAGTAATTTCACATGAAAACCACAGAGGCGAAGCAGGCCTTTCTGTGCTACGACGATGTGGACCCCAAATACTCGTGATTGTTTACACGCAACTAATGAAACTTACAAAGTAAACATTCTTTTAAAAAGTGCCAGTTTTTAGGTGATTCATTTGAATGGTTATAATGGTTATTATGCATCAACACTACTGTAAACATGGATTATTTTTATAATCAAAGAACCGTAACAACTATTTTTAAACTAAAGAACATAAAATGATTAAATTACCCAATGAAGAGTCAAAATTAACTTTATATATGCTTTTTTAAATAGTGAAAAAACTATCCCGTATAATATGAAATGGTGGATACAAGTCCTTACGCATTTGTCAAAATCCACACAAAGAGTGAACTGGAATGTAAACTCCTTCATCATAGTGCATCAATATTGGCTCATCAGTTGTAACAAATGTACCACACTGATGTAAGATGTCAATGATAGGAGAAACTTGGTGGGGAGTATATGGGAACTCTCCTTTACAGAAAAAAAAAAATTTTTTTTCTGTAAACCTAAAACTGCTCTAAAAAAGTCTATTAATTGAAGCATACACACCAAAATATTAATGGTAATTAACTCTTAGTGGTGGAAATTTGAACAAATTTTTTTTGTTCCTTGAATTTTTATTGAAATCCCCAAATTTTTGGAAAGGAGCATATATATTTTTAAAGCAGAAAAAAATATTATACAAACAAACTATGGAAAATTTTAGAGGCATAGCATGAGAGGCAAATATCAAATATTCCATTTTATTTCAATTTTATATAACTTTTAAAACATCTGCCTGAAACTCTTATCAATGTTAAAAATTAAATCTATTTTAGTATCGTTAAAAAAAAGAATCTTAAGGGCTACATTGAGTTTTTTAATGATCTCTTTAGCACACATCTGGGGAGAAAATTTTGATTTTTTTTTTTTTAAAAATCTGGGTCTCAAAGGATCATTTCTGCCTTCTTGGAAATCATTATTAATATTTACATGCAACACTTTTTCTAGTGAAGAAAAACACTATACTAGAAACCAAGTCCTTGGGGGATTAAAGAGTCCTGGCCCTCAGGTGCATGGATCTCTGTAGAGTTAGAGGTATCAGCTTCCCTGATGGCTGTGATCCTAGGCAAGCCTTTGGCCTGAGTTTCAGTGTTCTCCTCAGGGAAAAGGGAAACCTCCCTCTCTGCACTGGTCAGAAAATGCCAAACTTTAGCCCATATAAGAATCCTGGCATCTTAGCACACACAGGTGCTTAATAATTATTAGTTTCTGTCCTTAAAAAAAAAAAAAAACAAAAAACTTTTTTAGTGTTTTAGTGAGAATCTTGAGCTCCTAAGACAAAAGATACCAACTTGTTGGAGCAAGGCGGGATGGTTCAAGAAAAGATGAAGCCAGAGAGGGAGACAAACCATAAGAGACTTAATCTCAGGAAACAAACTGAGGATTGCTGAGATTGGGGGGGTGGGGGGAAGGATGGGGTGGCTGGGTGATGGACACTGCGGAGGGTATGTGCTATGGTGAGCGCTGTGAATTGTGCAAGACTGTTGAATCACAGACCTGTGCCCCTGAAACAGATAATACATTATATGTTAATTAAAAAAAGAGGAGAAAAGAAAAGAAAAAACTCACTGATGTGACATGGAAGGATTGGGCGCTTAACACTCAGCACCAACACTAGCTATAAGCAAGAAGTGGATAAATCACCAAACTTCTCCATGTATCATTTTTCTAATCAGTTAAGTGAAAGATTTGGACCAGCGATCTCTAAGTTTCCTTCAGCTTCCATCACTGCAAGGGGAATGTCAGTGTGGCTTCTGAGTAAAAAGGCCTAAGTCTCCTGTAGTGACCTCTCTCTTTGCCCACAGGACCAGCCATCACTCACTGCCCTGCAAACAAAGCTGACATGTGCATTCTACCCTCCCTACAAAAGAGAACTTCCCAAGGTTTCTTTGAACTTTTTTCCTCTCCGTGATCTGCTGCTACCAGACACCCGACTAGGTTTTTATTTTAACAGTAGCCAATCCACAGCGTTCCCCAAAGATTTCTGGCACTTTCTGCAGGAGAGTGTCCAGGGATAGAAGCTACCATTTCTCACCCAAGTGTAAGGTGCACTTTTTTTTTCTCATAATTACGTCTCCAAAATTTTAATGTGTATTTCTTTAGTATTTATTGAGCACTTAATTTGCTGTGTCATTGACATTCCTTATCTCCTTAAAGCCTCAAAGCAGCCCCCAAGGTACTATTATCATTCTTGTTTTATAGATGGGGAAAACAAAAGTTCAGAGAAGGTGAATGAATTGCCTAAGGTCACCCAGCTGGTAAATGATGGAGCCAGGATTTAATTTCATGCTCCTGCTTTTAAACACTATGAAGAAGGCTGTACTGGGACTTCCCTCAGGGTTCTGAGGACACATTATGGTGTTCCCTCTGCTGAAAGTCCTCTCTCTCAGGGGTTTTTCAGGAGAAGGAACAAGGGGAGAAAGTGCTCTGTACTGAATGCTTGTCCCCCACCCCTCAGTCCCTTATGTTGAAGCCCCACCCCCCAGTGAGATGGTTTTAGGAGGTAGGACCTTGGAAGGTAAGCAGGTTTAGATGAAGTCATGATGGTGGGACCCCATGATGGGATTAGTGCCCTACCAAGAAGAGAACTTTGGTTCTCTCCTTCTCCTTCTTCCTCTCCCTTGGGAGGACCCAGCAAGAAGGTGGCCAGCTGCAAGCCAGTAAGTGGGTCCTCACCAAACCACCAAATCTGGTGACTTGGTGGTCTTAAACCTCCCAGCTTCCAGAAATGTGAAAAAGAAATTCCTGTTGTTTAAGCCACCCAGGGTGGTCTTTTGTCATGGCAGCCAAGCTGACTAATACAGAAAGCAAACTCCTTTCTCCTTGTTTTAGATTGTTTTTCTTTGAGGAGCTTCCAAAATGTAACCCTTTTGGCCTCGGGCCCCACCCTCTACTGCCTAAAGAGTTATCTGACTGGTGGGAGAAATCCATTGGTCCACCTACCTTATTAATAATTTATTAAAGCTTTTCACTCTTTTCGAACCTCTAAACCCAGACTACTCCAGGGAGCAATCTGAGGTCACTGTCTCTGCCTCAAGAGCCAGACTGTCACCTGGATGGGGTACCTGATGGTCTACATCTAGCTGGAGGAGCAGGAGGGCCATGCAGAGAATATTAGCAAGAACTTTTCACACAGACCCAAAGTCACAGTCTCTCATTGACTTTATCAGGACTATCACTGACATTTTTATCTTCATCTGTCAGTCTCCAGTGTCTTGTTTCTTAATTGGTTGTGAAGGTAGGAAGGGGAGAAAAGGCAGCTTGGCTGGCCCACAGTTGCCCCTGAGGGGGGAAGGTAAAACCTGAAAGAGTATAAAAGCAAGCCCTGTGGTTCCAGGAAAATTATTTAACCCCTCTGTGACTTTCTCCTTCTCTGTGACATGCTGTGGTGAACATTAAATGTGATAATGTATGTAAAATCCTAGCTCACTCTCTGGCACATGGTAAAATGCTCAATGAATGGTGAATGTCATTATTGATCAGAATGGTTAAGAAGGATTTGCGGTCTTTTACTCCACAGTTTATCAGAGCAGACATCTCTCTAAGCTTCCTAGGATGAAAGAATAATGTTTGGCACTTGTCAAATTATTTGGGCACCTAAGTATTTGTTTGAGGGAGGGTAAGGAGTGTCCAATTAATCTGGGCAGAGAGAGAAAAGCATTGTCCTTGTTCTTTGCCCAGGAGCCAGCTCCAGCATCTGTCTGTAATGCCCTCCCTGTGTGCTCAGCCACAAAGATGCTGGAGGGAATCTGATGAATCTGGAGGGAATATGATGGGCAAGGCAGCCATAAGGAAGAGAGGAGAGTGAGCAGTAAAACCATGGCCCCAGCTTTCTTACTGGCCAACCAGAATCTGCACAAAGCCATGAGTGTGAGGGGGAAGTAGCTTTTGCAGCAGCCTGATTCCCAAGTGGTTCTGAAAGCTCTGCAAGAGCCCTCTGCCCCTCTCTGAACTGTGACTCTAGGTTTCAAGGGTGTACAGTGGGTAGACTGAGAAGGAGACTTTTCGAGAGCAATTCTCCACAAACATAGTCTTTCTCTTTGCCTCAAACAAGCAGCTCCTGAAATCCTGTCTTCTTTATTAAATTGCCATGAATGATACCTTCATCTATCAATCTTTGCTTTATCTCTCTAACCCCTTCACTGAGCCACAGTATGCTGTACAGGATGTTAATCTCATGTTAGTGATGGCGCACTGGCTTCAGAAGCAGGCAGAGCTGCCGTAGGTCCTCCTTTCACTAGCTGGGTGGCCTTGGATAAGCTCTTTTGAACCTTAGTTTCTTCATCTGTAATATAGAAATAATAGCATGTGCCCTGTTGTGGTGGGGAATTTTTTTTTTGAGAGAGAGAGAGCAGGAGCAGGG